CCCTTTATCCCCCTTTATCCCCCTTTATCCCCCTTTATCCCCCTTTATCCCCCTTTATCCCCAAATTTGAAGCTAAGAGCAACTACAGGGCTTACCACTCTAATGTGGATGAAAACTTCATGCCCTCTCCAATGTGGCTCATTTACGTTTTCAGGATGTGTCTTCCCCCTGGCTTGTTTCCACAGTTGACTTTGGGCCAATCGCAAATTCTGAAAAAGAGTTTAAGAAATCAAAGTTAAATTCAAATTGATTCAGATGCTCTTGTCCGTGTATCACTGTTTCCGTAACTCATTGAATGGACTTTTTGTGTTACAGGTGGCCAGCATCAAGTCAAGGCATGTCCCTTATTCAGTCAACTACTAGACTTGCCGTGGCTGCCTTGGGTCGAACAACATCAACTTCAACAAATGAAGAGAGCAAAAACCCAACAAAACCAAGACTTGCTGTGCCATAAAAATGAAATAAATAGCCTTATTACTGAAAGTGACACTCTTGATTTGCCTCTATTTCCCTCCAATAAAATCAACACACGACTAAATATTTTAGGATCAAGGATAAGCCTTATCTATGGAGAGACAGTAAAGATATGACAAATACCAAAATAAACTTTTACCTCACCTGACTCGAGGGGTCTACAACTCGTATAATCAAAAGTACACGACCCTATAATCACTTATAAACACGTCTATAATCCACAATCTTTTATAATTATTATCTATAATCTATAATCATTCTATAATCTTATAATTTCTTATTATCTTTTGTATAACCAGTGACATTTTTGTATAAAATAACTTTACAAAGTCAAAATATCACCAGTAAATGAAGAAAGAGAACTATCTGGGGAGCTGGGAGCGATGGTGTGGACAAGTCTGACCGAGTGTATGAGATTAGTTCTTTCCCTAATGCACCAAAAGTTTCGAATCTGGTAACCGATTTTGGGTTCTGACTCGAAAATAAAGGGTATTCATGAAGTATGATCCTACTCCAAATCTTAACTCTGAGTCTCAAACGGTTTAGGAGATATAAATACCTAAAATTTTGAGGCAAAAACTGCGTATTTGAGTGGGGGTATAGGTAATACTCCATGCATCTTTGCAATAAAGACAATACTGACTACACCATTGGAAAGAGAATTGAAAACTGATTCAAAACCAAGCTAAAGATTGGATTTTTGTTTCCTACCCTTCGCTCAAATATATCAAAAGATTTTAGCAGAATATCGTAACTCTCATAACAAAAATAGATAGTGTT